GCCTTTTCTCTAGTCTGGTGTCTCCTGGGCTGTCAGTGTGACAAGAATTTCTGAATATTTAGGACAAAATTGGGTTTTTTATATCCATACCTTGTTCTGTTTAATACACAAATTATCTTACTCTCAGTTTGGCTTCTGTTGTGGTTTAACCCCAGTAGGCAGCTGAGCACCTTAGAAGCTACTGTGAGGAAAATCAGCTTCATCCAAGCCAAAGCAATACAGCTCCTCTTTCTCAAACAAGTGCTTGGTTTCTCTTTCTGTGGCAGGTGTTTCAGTGCCTTTGCAGCTTGGTTTACCTGATGCCATTCCACCCCAGTATGGGGCACTGAAAGAAGTGAGCATTCATACAGTGAGAGCAAGGCTGAGACTGCTCTACCATTTCTCTGACCTCATGTACTCTTCATGGCGATTACTGAACCTCAGTCCCAATAACCAGGTAAAATTCCACTGGAAAAAACTGACTGGGCTTTGTTGTTCTGCTAGAGAGTTTCTGACCAGATCTAGATGGACCTTAGTAATAGGCTCTGTAATTTTTTTGTAAAAAAAAAATTAAAAATAAATAATTCGATAATAAAGCAAACTTCTTGAAGGTATTGCTTTACTTTTTCACTTATGCTATCACTGGCAAGTGATATGCTCTGGTTTCCAAAAGCTTACAGGCCTCAAAACTAAAACCAAAAAGTGCTGATCTGTGTCCTGAAACACTGATGCCCTGTTATTCTGTTAAGAATGGAACGATATCCTTTACTGATACATTTACTCTCATTGGTGCTTTATTGCAGAACAGTACATCTCATTACAATGCTGGAACGTGGGGGATCGTGCAGGGACAGCTCCGGCCCCTGCTGGCTCCGCGGGTGTACACCCTGCCCATGGTGCGCTCCATCGGCAAAACCATGGTGCAGGGCAAGAACTACGGGCCCCAGATCACTGTGAAAAGGATCTCCACCAGGTCAGTGCTGCTCTCACAGCCCTTGGCTTACACCTTGTGTGCATGCTGAGGTTCATACACTGCCCTCTGTTCTGGCATTCTGAGCTCTCTCTGGACAGCTTTGTTGATGGAGTGACTCAGAGCCTTTCCATGATTGTGAGTTACATTTTTGGCTGTGTGTCTCTCCCCCGAAGGGGTCGGAAGTGCAAGCCCATTTTTGTCCAGATCGCAAGGCAAGTGGTGAAGCTGAATGCGTCAGACCTTCGCTTGCCCTCCCGTGCCTGGAAAGTGAAGCTGGTTGGAGAAGGAGCTGATGATGCAGGTGGAGTGTTTGATGACACCATTACAGAAATGTGTCAGGTACGTCTGTGAATGTTTTGGGAATGTGTAACAGGAATGTATCACAGTGCAGTCCCAGGAAAAAGAACATTGTAGCCTGACATAAAGACAGGTCTTGAAATAAACATGGGATTACTACTTAAAATCATCCTACCATGTTTACCTTCTCTGTGTTTCATATGAATTTGTAAGGAGTAATCATCACCGTAGTGAAATATTCTGTCTTGTAATGCTAAAATGTCTTTATAGTTCTGTCTTAAGTTTGCTTTCCCTCTTTCTAAGAAGGCTTTTTTGTTGTTGATTTTTAAGGAACTGGAAACTGGAATAGTAGAGCTGCTTATTCCTTCCCCAAATGCTACAGCTGAAGTAGGCTACAATAGGGATAGGTGAGTTGTACACGACTTGCTTTTATTGCAGATGGTAGTGCGTTAAAATCTAAATCTTTCATCGACTTCTTTATACCAAATTATGAGACTTCATGATTGTCTCTAGTGTATTTTTTGCCTTCAGGCTATGTTGTCTCTTCATTGTGAACCAGGGCATGGCTTTGACGTGGACTTGCTGGATTGCTGATGGCAGAATTCAGAGTAGCATCAAGACGCCAGGCTTTGTGCTCAGGAGTTCTGCCTCCCTCAGGGTCCAATGTTTTAACAGCTAAAGATAACAATAATCTTATTTGGAAAAGTTTATTTGGACAATTGCTGATAAGTGCGCTGGCAGTTACTGTGCTGTGCTTAGAAGTGTTTTCCCTTTTACTTCTAATGAGGCAGCATAGAAATAACACTCTTTTCACTGCTTCTGTGTCCTTTCAGATTTCTCTTTAACCCTTCAGCATGTTTAGATGAACATCTGATGCAGTTTAAGTTCTTGGGCATTCTCATGGGTGTAGCTATTCGTACAAAAAAGCCATTAGATCTTCATTTGGCTCCAATGGTCTGGAAGCAACTTTGTTGTATCCCACTCATCTTGGAGGATTTGGAGGAGGTAGATCTGCTCTATGTGCAGACCCTCAACAGCATTCTTCACATTGAAGACAGTGGGATTACTGAAGAAAATTTCCATGAGGTAAGATAAGAAAGACGGCACTTTCAGATTTATTCTGAAAGCAGTTACTCTATTAGATTGACCTTCACATCAGTATTTCTATAATTTCAGTCTCCATTCTAAGTGCACAAGCACTTGTGCATTTAGAGTGGTCTGTGATCTTACTGTAGTTCTAGATGACTTGTAGTAAAATGCTGTGCTTGAATCACTGGGGTGACTGATGCTTTTTCTGTTTTGCATAACAGATGATTCCTTTAGATTCTTTTGTTGGCCAAAGTGCTGATGGTAAAATGGTTCCCATAATCCCTGGAGGGAACAGTATCCCACTTACCTTTTCAAACAGGAAAGAGTATGTGGAGAGGGCAATTGAGTACAGACTCCATGAAATGGATCGACAGGTGAGAACCTCATTGTGACTTGCCCCTGTTGTTAGTGGGAACGGGGGTAATTTGTGCCTATTTCCATTACAGCTTATTCAGTGATAAGAAAAGTTTGGCTTTCTCCATCTTTTTGGGTCTCTGTATTTTTTCTTCCCCACAAACTGTTTTGACCCTTTTTTAAACATTTAGTCTTGTTTTTTCTCAGTAATTACTCAGTTGGCAACAGAGTGTTAGAAATCAGAGCTGATCTTCCATTTGAGTAACCCCTCTTGAGAAAAAAACCTGCAGTTTTGCATGCTGGGTACTCTAAGTGGACATGTGAACAACATATGGCTAAAGTAAATACTATTGACAAACCTTTGTGTAGCTTGAAACTATTTATCTTTTGTTATGACACAAATCCTGCAAATATTTCACAATATGTTTTGGGAAGTGCTCGTTACCTATTGCATAGTTCTGTGTATTTTGTCATTTGAGAGAGCAGCATTCTAATTATAAGGTAAAGATTCCTGTGTGATACTATCTGCCTTAGAAAACAGCTTCCTCATTAGAGGTACCAAATCCCAAGTCTTGCAGAACAAGTACAGCATTCTCATCATACATCTGAATTGGAACAAAGTCTTTTTTCTATTTACACAGTTGCTTGGTATAGCCATCATTATTTGTGCTGCCAAGTTGTAATTTTTTTAAATAGCTCTGTGTTGGATCAGAACATGTTCTTTAATGTGCAATTACAATTTAAAGTATCTGTAATATTGTGTAGGATTTTTAGAAACAATACAGCCCTTGCAGGGGCTGTGTGTGTGGGAGGCTCTGTTTAGAAGACATTGGTAATTCTGTCTCTCAATGCCGTTTCTCAGCTGAAGTTACTTTTGTGTTTGGATAGTCCAGGAAGTGGCACAGATCACAGAGTTGCACTTCAAATGTCTCTCCCGTTTTTGGCCATTAGGTGGCTGCTGTCAGGGAAGGAATGTCTTGGATTGTTCCCGTTCCTTTGCTTTCACTTCTGACTGCCAAGCAGTTGGAGCAGATGGTCTGTGGAATGCCAGAAATATCAGTTGAGGTTCTGAAGAAGGTTGTGCGATACAGAGAAGTTGATGAGCAGCATCAGCTGGTGCAGTGGTTCTGGCACACCCTGGAAGAATTTTCAAATGAGGAGAGAGTCCTTTTCATGAGGTTTGTGTCAGGAAGATCTCGACTGCCAGCCAACACAGCTGATATCTCTCAGCGATTCCAAATAATGAAGGTTGATAGGGTAAGACACTGGTGTTTCTATTATTATTATCATCATTATTATTACTATTTCCTCTCAAGTGTAGTCTGTGCTTTGGCACTAGGAGACAATTTCCATAACTGTAAATTTACAGAAAAGGTATGGAATAGGATATGCTCTAAGTTAATAAACTCAGACATTTTGGTTTTGTAGGACACAGGCTGCATGAATTGCATCTTGATTTAATTGGTGGAACTGGTGATTGGACATAAAGACAAGAAACAAACCTTTGTCTACTTTAACTGTTCCAATCTCTTTTCATTTAGTAATTTTCTTTCTGTTTTTAATTTTGTGTAAGTAGCAACATACCACTAGTGAACTCTTAATGTTTTAAAACCACTGCAATGAGTTTACAGTGTATAGTTTTACATACAGGATGCATTCATTTTGGGTTTTGTGCAGTGAAAGCACATTCTCTGTGAACAACATGAACAAAAAACTTGACAAAAGTTTCAGCTAACAGGGTTTTTTTGTCATATTTGGTTGGGTGTCTCTCAGATTGCCTAATGCTAAGGCACGCTAGGGTATGTAATTTGAACATTGTTTGGTATTTAGCAGTGGGCTTCTAAACAGCAATGTGATCAACTCTTGAAAAGGCTGAATTCCGTAGTGGGTTGTGTTACTTGCAGAGTAGGTGCTGCAGTGGTTTTGGACATACTTAAGGGTGGAACAAATGCTGTAAACAAGGGAGGTCAGTCTGCTTCTTAAAAGGAATTTGAGATAGAATGTGAGAATGGTGGAGCAAGGAGCAATGAAATGTGGATATTGTTGCATTTTTACTTCATTCACAACTTACCAGTGTCCCACCTTTTATCCGTTTCCACAGCCTTACGACAGCTTGCCTACCTCACAGACTTGTTTCTTTCAACTGAGGCTCCCACCCTACTCCAGTCAAGTTATCATGGCAGAGCGTTTGCGCTATGCAATCAATAATTGCAGGTCTATAGACATGGACAATTACATGCTCTCCCGGAATGTGGACAATGCAGAGGGCTCAGACACAGATTATTAACATTCTGTGAACAAAATCATCTTCCTTTTACTACAAATAGTGCCCTAAGTCCAATTCATCGTTGACATAATTTTACAGTAACCATAGATGTTTTAGGAGCATAAAACCAGATCTTAATAGATGGTGGCCACACTTTAGTTACTCTAAATGTAACAAAAAATTAGATGTTTTTATTTTTTTGTGATTGTAAAAAAGGAAAAACAAAACAAAAAACTATGATCGGTAAGTTTTTTCTCCTTTTTTGGTCACTTTTGATAAGTTTGCATGGAGACATTTTGGTGCATTTTTGTTGGGAATAGTACATTTGTAAGCCCTCCCAGTGAACATGAAGAGTTGTACATTGTGTATAATTGTTCATTAGCCAGAACAGTTTTACATGAATATTCACATATTTATTTTGTTTCAATTTGAATTGCCTGTGCAGGGTTCTTTCTGCAGAGAAAAATAAAGCAAATTCAAGACTCGGTTGCTTGTATGCATTTGTGAACTGTGGTTGGCTTACTCAGGCTTCATACTTTTATATTTTGTCTCAGGAAATTACAATCTTACAGTGTTGAGACAGGGTGTGACATTTGAAGCCTCTTAAACTATTTAGCCTGCTGGTCTGTGCTGTGCAGCCCCATGCTCTGCCTTCTCCTGGCCTGGGGCCTGGCTGCTTGGGGGCAGTGCTGCTCATTCAATACAAGTTCATGCTGGGCTTGCTTCCTTCTTGCTTTTTGTTTAAACATTTTGCTCCTCCATAGTAATTGTTGGCAATAGCAGCATGCTGTCACCCTGATTCAGAAAATTTTAAATATTTTGAGCAAAATAGTAATATTTTTAATGGACACATTGATGTAGTTGATTCCTGCTCAGGGTACACAAAAATTAAAATGGAAGGGACAGGGTAGTAGTCAAGGTTGTGGGTTTCATTCACATTTTTAGTTCTGGCTTTGGTCTCATTTTGTCTCAGCTGTAGCTGTTGTGATCAGCATGGTTTGACTGACACAGTGATGGATGTTGCTGTTTGGTCAGGACAGCAGTTCTGCACATGCAGATCTCTGCTCTGAGCCCTAGGGAAGTGCTGGACAATTGGTAATTGCCCGTTGTGTCTGTGAAAGGCATCGCTGATGTCAAGCTGCAAACACTGCTTGGTGTTCAGAGCAGGGGGTACCTGGGGAGGGAGAAGGGGAGAGGCTGTCCCTGGGTGAGTCAGAGCTGCTCTGCTCCCCTTTCCCCTCTGCTCCATTTCCTCCTCCCTCAACTCCTTGGGAAGATGCTGTGGGAACTGAGGGCTGGTGAAAATTATTATTAGAGTCATTCTCACCTGGGGCAAGACTGGTCCATCTGAGTGTGGAGTGTAGGGTAAATTCCTGGTACTTTCTCTCATGTGTCTGTTGGACATTAACAAGGATTGATTGGGAAATTTCCTGGCTGTCCAAGACTGAGCTGCTGCATTGCTGCCAGCTGGCACTGCACAGAGGGAGGGCTTGGTAAGCTGTGAAAATTTGTGTATCTGGGTTTTATCTGGTGAAGTTCTCTCAGGGCTGTATGTGGGCTCTTGAAAAAGGCAAAAGCCTAGCTGTGATCAAAGACCACTGCAGAGTGAAATATTTGAGAGGGATCAGGAGCTGGGGGGGTCTCACAGCTCTGACACCATGCAGACTTGGTTTCCTGCCTTACTGTCTGTTAGGTTTCAGATTGGACTGAGGTGTTGGTGTCCCATCACTGTGTTGTGAGGATGTATTGTCACATCTTGGCCTAAATGTGTAGGTTTAATAGGTAAAAAATACAGTATTTAAATAAATGGGGAAACAGCTATACTAAGTCCTGCATTATTGCATTCTACACTTCATGGATGTGTCTTAGTGGCACTGATTTGTCAACCTGTTTCAATCAGCACAGGAAATAATAGAACTGTGCCTAAAAATGGCAGCTTTATGTGGACTGTGCTGTTAGCTTTCTGGATAATGAAGATCTTTTTGGAGGCAGTTTACAGTAAAATCACAGGGGATGTTGATTAAAGGTTTGTGCTTGATGGAACTTTAATGGCTTGGAACTAAAGAAAACCGTAGACATGTTTCCATCCTTCCATAATACCCTAAGTAAAATGTTGGCATTTTCTATACTCTATTTTCAGATTGAATTGTGAAGTAAGAAAATTTATTATTGATGCTGAAAAAAATGTATCAATGCATTTTTTAGTGTTCAGATTTTACCATGTCATGAACAAATATCCCCATTCAAGGAGGGGAAGAACCAAGTAATAAGTTAGAGCATTGTTAAACAAATAGGGAAAGAAATCAAGTGGAGAGTGTTTGAAGACCCTTTTTAGCTCTATAAAAGAAAATTAAAAAACAAAACAAACCACAAACCCCACAAAGTACCCTGCCCCCCCCCCACCAAGTCCCGGTAGAAAACTGGTAAAAAGGCTTAAGTAATATGTGAACAGATGCAAATGTGCTCTCATATCTTGTAGCTGCTTGCTGATCTGTTCCTGTTACAGAGATGTCTGTCAGCACAGAGTGCTGGGAGAGCTGGTGGCACGAGGAGGGCTTTGCTTGCTGCAGTGACTGTGCAAGTTCATGCCTTGTTTTGGCTTGTCAGCAGTGTGTGGAGCTGTTGTAGTGTATCCAAGGTACAAGTTGTGTCAGCTTCCCAATTTCCACATCACAGGAAATTTGTTCAGCTCAGCAATGTCCTTTCGTAGCTGTCAGTGCTGGGTGAGGATTGCTGTGTCTCCTTATCTGCACTTCTTCCAGTTTTCTTCCTTACCTTGTGGTGCATAAGGGCCCTACTTGAACTTTAGGAAGGAGTTAATGAAATCCCACTTTTACAGTGTCATGCTGTTAAATATCTCTAAGTAATGAAGGTGGAATAATTTCGTTTCCTCGTTGGTTTTCTGGGTGAGTTTCTTACAGATGCTCATACTGATCAAGTATTTCTCTAGAATTGCAGTATTGTTTGACTAAGTTGCTGTAAATGCTCTGATTTATTTCTTACCTCAGCCAGATTAGAGAGTACCAAGTATATCTGTGGATCAGTTAACCAGGATCAGAAGGCAAAGTAAGTATATTCAGTTATGTTGAGAGCAGTAAAGTCCTCTTTGGTGTCAAATTTTGTAGATGGTGGCACAGCATGAAAAGTATGTAAAAAAAAGTTTCACTTCCAGGTAGCAGAGCAGTGTGCAGGAAGGGGACAGCCTTGTGCTTTGGGATGAAAATAGCTTCTGGTTCTGGACTTTGCAGTGAGAAATGGGTATTTATATGCAGCTGGTCTGTACTGTGTTCCTTATTTAGCATTAAAAGACAGGCTGTTAGTCACTGTCTTCTCTTGAGGGTTAGTTCTCTGAATTAGCACTTGTTCAGATTGCACTTCTTTTAAAACAGCTTTAAAAAATAATTTGGTGCATCTTTTTTTTATGTAAGTACATCATACAGAGGGTCAGACTGTGTTTTGTGTGCCTTGAATCCACGCTTCTCTCATTAACTAAAAAAGCCTGGTAAATTAGCTGCCACTGTTAATCACCAAGGAAGTACTGGTGGTCAGTGCTCTGCTTTTGCTAGAAAGAGGTTTCAGGGAGTGGTTATCCTCCTTAGTGGATGGAATGACTGTCAGGTAAAACCCTTTAACAGAAGTTTGTAAATCACTCTTGTCCTAAAATTTGTGAAAATCCTCCAGTGACTCAGGCTCTCTCTGCTGTGGCTTTATTGCCATTACATAAGGAGTTTTGAAAGTGCAGGGTCCAGTTTGAACCTCGTGACCCAGAGGGAGGCTCTTCCTTAGTGTTGTGTTCTCAGGTCCCTGTGTGACTCATTGTGCCTCAGTTCACTCTGTCTGTGTTTCTTCCACGCAGTCAGTGAACCTTGCTGCCAAACTTACTGCACTGTTCAAACTCTACTGTTAAACTGTCTTAAAAGTTCATCAAATTTATTGAACTCTATCAAATTATTTGGCCTCAATAAACACACTGCTGCTTGCCTCTTCTGAGTGAGGGCATCTGCAGCACGAGGGTACCAGAACTGCAGTTTTCAGCAGATCTGGCATTTTGTGACAGCAATGCAGGGTTTCCCAGTTTCAAGGAACAACAGAGAGCAGTTATTTCCTGAAGCCCATCCAGGAGGAGATGCATGTCTTTTCCCTTTACAAAACAAAAATTTGTTTGGACTTGACCAGAACCTGTGGAAGTAGCAACAGTTCATTGCTACCTCAGTGAGGTAAAATACCCACACCTTAAAGCTGAACCAGTTTTCTTGATGCTTTTTCAAGCATCAGCTTTTTTCCTGGCTTGCTGTCTGGGATCATGTTAGCACTTCTGTCTGCTCTCAGCACCACTGAAGGACACTTCTCCCTGACTCTCTCTAGCCCAGCCTGTGTTACATTGCGGCAGAAATCCACGTGGAGCGTTCGCAGCGATGCTCCGTGGAGCGTCACTGCCTCCAGGGTGTGGTCAGTGATCTGCACACAGTTCTCCAGCTTGAGGCTCTTCAGGTTCGGGCAGTTCTTGAGAAGCTGCAAAATGCAGTCATCTGTAACATGGCCACATCCAGAGAGGGTCAGAGACAGCAGATTTGGACATCTGAAAGCAGGATGGTGACAGGTGAGATGGGAGAAATAAATCATAGAGCTTGCAGAAGCAAATAACATCAAGAATAAATATGAAGGCTGAAAAAATGCCTCCTCTTCATCAGGAGGAGCAAGGAGGCACAAGTAGGTGAGTGTACATGTAGATCTTAATGTTCAGCTTACCTAAAGGCAAAGCTCACTTAGCTTTTTCTGTTGGTAGCAACATCTCTAGCTCAGCTGGCACAGTGGCATGTGGAGGCCCGTTTAAGCTGTGGCTCCATCATTTTTTCTTAAGGGGTTGGATGGTGCTGTGCTTCTCCAGGCACAGACAGAGGAGACCCAGCAGACAGGAGAGTAATTTCAGGATGAAGTGGAGGACAACTGAGAAGAGACTGCTGTGCAGACATGCTAAGCATGAGCAAGTAAGGCACTCCCACTCTTAAGTTTTGCTTCCTAAAAAGTGTTCGATGTTCAAACCTCACTTAGCTCTTAAACTTTCCTTTGAGTCACTGAAACTGGTAATGCTGTTGTTATAAACAATGATGCAGCAAATGAAAAAAGCTTTTTCTTGCTGCTTGAGTAGCCTGGGGAAGTAGAGGGAAGGCCTGTCCCCAGTGGGTGTGGGTGCTGTGCTGAGCAGGCCCTGTGCAGCAGCACTGCAATCTTGTGCCTGTCTGGCTCTGGCTCAGCCCCCTCTGCAGGCAGCAGCAATTCAGCACCCACCGAGCTGAACACAGCATCACACACAGGGCTGTGTTAGTGTTGCTCTTGTGAGGCCTCTGGACAGAATTTTTTTAAACTCTTTTCTGTTAGGAGCAGTTGGAGGAAGAAGTTGGCAGCAGTCAAGAAAGGCTTGAACAGAATAAAACTACTTTAAACTCAGGAAGAAAAGCTGGATATTCAATTTGCATTTTTCTTTGAACACAGTGCCAGGAATTTTGACTAGAAATGCTTTCAATGGGTTGCAGTAAAAATAGATAGGACCTGGTATTATCCTTTCTAGGCACAGGTATGCTGATTCCTCCTTAATCCAGATTTTTATCTAATTGTTCTAGAACATTTACTTCTGAAATGTGGCACTTGCAATTTAATTTGTTTTGAAGCTGTTTTTCAGTCCTTGTTTTGAGACTGCACTGCTGCTGGCTCTATCCTGTCACTATCCCATCATTTTTTCAGTTGTTGTTTCAAAGCTGAGGGCTGTGGCACAGGTGCACCATGTCAGGGAAGCACTGCCACAGCCCCTTGGCTCTGCTTTGGGACCAAGCCAGCCCTGATGTTCCCACACACAGAGGGACTGGCTCTGCCCTGTGAGCCTCCTCCTGTCACTGCTCTGCTCCTTCCTCAGAGCTGGCTTGCAGCAGCAGGGCTGGGAAGGAAAAGCTGTGCACCCAGAGCTGCTTTGCTGTGGTGCCATTTCTCTTCCCTCACCGCAGTTTAGAAGCAGCTGGGAGTTTAAACTTCAGAACTTCAGACTGAACTAAAGCTGACACAGCTGACACTTAGTAACATGTTAATTGACCTTGGCTGTAATGAGGTGTGTTCAGTGTTTGAAATCTGGGCTCTGCTCCAGGCACCCCCAGACACTGCCAGAATGGTGAAGTTCAGCTGAGCAGCAGTGTGAGAGGCAGGAATGCACTTTCCCATATTAAAAATGAATTCTTAGAAAAAAAAGAAGGAAAGCATAGACTTAAGGGAGATCTGAAGGAAGTATACACTATTATGTAAAATGAACTTACACTACAGTTGTAAAGGCAAAGCACTCATGTACTTCATGCTCCATTTCAGGCAGGGGTTATGGAGTATTGGAAAAAACTCTGACTTCACTCATCTCAAGGCAGTTACTGCACACTCACACCCACAGAACGTACCTGTTGCAAACGTCTAGTAAAAAATCACTGACAGTGTTCTCATGCCTCTTACAGAAGTCTTTCTGGAAACTGTTTTTCATCCAGTCCTCAATGTTACACACCTTGACTCTCTCTGAATACCAGCAGATGGATAAGTGTTTTAAAGCAGGTCCCAGGAGAAAATTATCCTTCTTTAGTTCCACTGGAGAATGAAAGTTCAACAAAGACCACAGTAAAGGATCCTGAAACACTTCTAGTAACCTGTGACATGTTTTTGCCAGATTTTTCCTACTGTTTTTGTCCAGAAAAGAGAAGAGATGTAGAAGGCATTCCCGGTTGAGCTGGGTTATGTGCATTGCCCAGCAGCAGAGGCAGTGTCGTGGCCGGGTGGAGTAACAGCAGTGCTGGAGGGGTTCACACTCCCCAGGAGGCTGTTGCACATATATGGTTGTGGAATGGGGTTTATTTTTGGCTAACAACTGGTGCAGAAGCTCAGAACAGGGAAAGGAACAGAACCATGTATGTAGCTTGTGCTTCCTTCGTCCAGGGGAATGGAATGGGCATGAACAGCTTGACTGTCGTGAAATGCTTCCTTAAAAGGGATTTTCCCCCCTGCCTTGTAGACTCTGCTGGAGTTTAGCAAAGCTCTTGTGCTGAGTTACTGCAGTGGGGTGGGGCTGTAGCTGCAGCTGCTGGGTGTATCTGTCAGTGCTTCCCATTCGGGAGATTTGGCTGAGCACCACTTGGTTTGGCAGAGTACACTTGGCTCTCTGTCTGTTCATTGATTTTTCTGAGGTTGCACATTTGGTTCACGTTCAAGGACTGTTACATGGATAATGGAACTTTCATGAAGGTTTTTAGAAGGAGCTGAAGCAGTCTCTGGGTGCCTTGAAGCACACACACGGTCTGCAGTTCAGTTCACAGGCCCCAGAGGTAGGGACAGTTTCCTGCACAGTTATTTGAGGCTGAGCTGTGATTCCACAAACAAAGCTGGCTGTGTCCCCACCGTCTGCAGGAGGGAGGCAGTGACACAGAGGCAGCCATGCATGGCAACAGCAAGGCTATGTTTAGTTCCTTGTGGGCTTGTGCTTTTAACAGATGTCTTCTACTGCCTCGAGTTTTACAAGTTTGGCTGTTCTGGTTTTGTAGGTTTAGTTCCATTACCACAGAAATATTTTTCCCACCCTTTGGTGGAATAAGGAGGTATGAAAGTGGTTTTCCAGGTAAAAGTATCTGTTGTACAGAAATTGGAGAAAGTGTAGCAGAAAGTTGTTCCTAGAAGAAAAATAAAGCTACAGCAAGGGCAGGTTGGAATTAAATGCAATGAGCATCCCTTTAACTTTCCAGCTTGTGAATCAAAAATGCTTGAGATGAAGGTATTCATAGTCACTTTCTGCCTGATGTTAATACAAGAGAATAAATACATTCAAGAAATCCATAAAAAGTGTAGCAAACAGCACTGGGGGAGTTTTTCAAGTGGCCTGCACACAAATAGTAGATGGGAAACGTTATGGCATTTTAATCAGGAGTGTTTTAATATGGGACAAGGTTGAGTGGGACTCAATTTTACCTCCTCCTTCACACCCCAAGAATGCAGTTTAAAATTCAGCTCTGAAAAACAAGATCTGAAATTTGTTTGTAGTCTGCAACAGTCACAGCTTGAGGAAGTGCTTGAGTAATGTGGCTGAACACAGCTGGCATACACAGAGAAATGGCAATTCTTTCTGCTTCATTCTTTAGTTAGTAACTTTCTACTATAGACAGTAAGCTGTGTTTAACAATTGCCAGTCTTCTTGGTTTTATATCCTTTGTCATTTAATCTTATCTTTGAAATGATAAGGAGATTGCTGTTCCCTCTCCCCCTGTCAGAAACACTCTGGTCAATGCCACAAAAGGGACAAGATTTCACATCCCAGGTAATGCAGTTTACTGAAAACAGCAGCTTAAAAGATGTGCCTGCAGGTGTTCTTCATTGTTATATTAGCATTTTCAAATCTCAAGAACTTACCTTTCTTTTTGAGCAGGTTTAAACAGCTGAGACTTCTCAGAGTTACACATACAGGAATACTATTTTAAAAAATACTAATTAAGAAACCCCCCAAATTAACAACAAATCAACAATCTAGCAAAGCTGAATGACAAGGATGTTAGGATGGACTCTTGCCAGACAGAGGGGACACAGCACAATCTGACACAAAAATTAACAGCAGTTGGGTGACAAGGAATTTAAGATGGAATGGCAGGTCCTCCTTGGGGTTAGGTGCTAAATTTGGGAGAGGTGTTACAGAGTTAGGAACACTGCAATTGCTTTATTTTGTTTTTCCCAGAGCAAGGTACAGTATTCTGCCATTTGTGTGCAGAGGACATACACCAATGTTCTGCAAGCCTGTAGAAGGACAAGGAGTTTCATTTTCTAAGGAAAGGAGACACTTTAATGGCACATTTTCCATAAACACACTATGTGATGAGATATAATTCACATTCATCCTGGAAATGCTCCAGAAACACACAAGATGAGCACAGTCAGTAATCCTCACTGAAAATTACACACAAGATTTTAATGGTAAACAATTACAACTATGGCACTACAGTACTTGAGAATATCCTAAAGCACGTTGGAATCAGCTGTCAAGGTGCCCATTACCTCATCAGTAAGACACAGACACATCAGTAATGAAACACTGCTGGGGGAATTTAACACCGTGTGTTACACTTCCCACTGATTTAGTAAATTCATCATAAATGGCCTCCTGTTTTTGATACAAGTCCACTATCCCTTCCTGTCTCAAACTTTTGAACTCTCTTGCTGACATTCAAGAGCTGGACATTTTGCTGTTTTGATTGACATAAATATTGGCTCCAGTTGTATACGTGGCTAAACAATCAGTAACAAAAGGACAACCTTTGATTGGACACATTTTGGTGAAAAAGATGCAAGTCTTTGAACTGTAGAGAGCAGTTGCTGCTTGCAGAGCAGTCTCAAGCAAGAAAAAAACTTCTTGCCAGCTAGTGTGTACTATGATGAGCAGTAAGTAGAAAAAAACATTTGGCTTAAATGAAAGAGATATTCCCCCCCACAAGTGAGTAGATAAATACAGGATATACAAGCTAGGTTAAAAAGGTAATACTAGGCCACGTGCAGTATTATGTTACTGGTTCAGTGCTCAGTTACTTTTTTTTTCGACACCACACTGAATAGAATACAGTGGATAAGCAAAGTTCTCCACCAGGAAGAGAAATACTTGTGTTGCCACAACAAACTGTTCATACTGCCCATCTGAGTTTGCAATGGGAGAAAATTAAATTAGGAAAGGATTTACAATGTACTTGTTCCAGCAAAGCATATGGCTGAGCCTGAGCAGCACCTGCTGCGAGCAAGGACAGCCTGCTGGGATTGCATCGGTTCCCCAGAGCTGGAGCCACCACTGCCCAGGGGCTGCGTGGGACAGCACATGGGACTGAGAGAAAATGCTCAAGTCAGAGCAGAACTCTGACCCAAACAACTGCTGACAAGAAGAAGTCGATTAAAAGAAGTGAATGTTGCTGAAGATTACAAATTTAAATTTCTAAAAAGACAGAAAGGCACATTTACATCACTGTTTTGCAAGAACACTGCATACACCTGACTACTGTAAGTTAAACTGCTGCTGGCCCAGATCGTCGTGTATTTTAAGCTTGGCATTCTCAAAGGTAAATTCTAAAGAAAGCTGGTCCAAGCAGCATGCAGAGAAAACACAGCTGGAGGTGGCAGCTGTGCAGCTCCCTGTGAGCAGCAGGAATGGCAGAAATGTGGTACATTGCTTTACCTGCTCTGTTTTCTGCTTGTCTAAGTATCAGCAACCTATTCTCATTGGTTAAAGACTGCCTGTAAGGAAGGGAAGGTGACAAACTATCTACAGCTTAAAGAAATGACAAGTTCTAGTTACTGTTCAACTTAAGTAAAAGACAGCATCCTTATAATATGTCACTGTATCAATAACGCTATAGTCTTAACCTGTGTGCACACTTCAAAGCCCATTAGCTATGCTCAACCATTTCTGCAGCTTTGGATAAAGCCAATTTCTCCCTTTTCTGGTTTAAGCTGCTGTGACAAAGCTCCCAAGAATGGCCCTGTACCAAATGCCTGACTCCAATTTGTCCTTGTGCTGGCCTGTGAGCAGCCAGCAGGACCCCAGGGCAGGGCACTGCTGTGCCCTCCCCGTGCCCCAGGCTGCTCTGGGCTCCACTCCTGCCTCCCTGCCTGTGCCCTTCAGGGGCATCAACTAAAACAGGACTCCCAACTGCATTTTCTAGTTAACTAAGAGCTGCTCTTTGGTGGTGGGACCCTCCATCAACTGTAGTCTCCTCTTACTGAGCTTTCAGGAGCTTCCAGCTCCTTGCTTGGTACAAGAGAACCAGCTAGAAAGGAGAGACTGAGGGAACAGATCTGAAGTGCAACAGTTCTCAAATTTCACGTTTTCTGTCAGATTCCTGGCTTTGGCAGTAGTGGTGTTCCTGTCTGCCTTTCCCTTCACACTACCTGACTTCCACCCATCAGCAGTAGAGCTAAAACTGGTTTGGGTTTTTTTAATGTAGTCTTTCTCTGTTACATAGCCAGGTCTTAGAAACTGCACAATGACTCCCGTGGTCACCTAGAGACTGAAAAAAATGCCACCCTGGGCGAGTGTGTAAATGCCACAGGAGCTCTCTGAACCTGCTCCAGTCACAAGCACACTTAGCACTTCCCCTGTGAGGGCTCTGCTCTGAGAGACTGAGCATCCTTTCTTGAGTTTCACTTGAACTGATTGATAGAACAATTGCATGCAAAGCACCTGCAGCACCGTCTCCTCCTGCCAGTGAACTGCAGCCAAGGAGCAGAGCTGCATGCAGAGCTGCATTGAGACCACTCCTGTTCTCACAAACCCCAGCCCTTGGGGCCAATCCCCACTAGGAACTACGGGCTCCTACTTGGGATTCCACTGCCAGGAAGGCTCCCCAGTTTTCAAGCATGAAATGTTCACGATCCAATTTCAGGATGACAGTCTAACCCAGGAGATGTCAAATGCAATTCAGGTTCAGTTCTAAAACCATAAAGGGCAAAGTAATTTAGACAGGTAAAGATAATTGTTTTAAATTTGCAGGGGGTAGGGGGCAGCATATCTGAGCAGTACTGTAATTAAATTGCAGTATTGATACAATTGAACCAACTGTTTATTTACAATGATTCCTGAAAGTCACCAGCCTGAATACACCAATATAGCAGCAATTACCTGGTCTACTTAATGATGTTATATTGCCTCTCTTCTGCAGACAAAGGATGATTGGTCAGAGGTCACTGTTTAAGTCTCTTGCACGAGGGAAAGAGTTGTACGTGCAAACAATTCGTTGATTTAAAGAGATTAAGTCATATCTACATAACAGGACTGCGAACAGCATGAAGTTGTATTGCTTTTCATGATCAAAAGCACATTTATCTTGCTTGTAAGGAGGACAGATTTTTTTGATGTAAATGTGCCTTTAGAAAGTGAGAACTGAAAACATTAATATAAAAAAGTCAAATAACTATTTCATGAAACTATATATATAAAAATTGAGTTATCACAACTAAAGCAGCAAATCAAAATCTGCTGAGGTTTTCTGGTATAACTAAAAAAAAAGTTAGTTTGTGTCCAAGTTCAGTAAGTCAAATGCTACCATTGACACAACAAAACAAAAACCCACAAGAGGAAATTGCAAAGTGCACAATGAAATTAATAAGTCTCGGATCAAGTATTTATGGAAAAATGGAAATGTTTGTCCGGTGGACTTGATAAGTAAGAATGCAAAGGAGGTATTAAAGTTTCTCTGCTCCAGGCTTGGCTTGGCGCTCCACGTAGAAGAGGATGTAGGCCTTGGCCTTGCCCACGGTCTCCTCGTCAGTCAGGGTTACAGTACTGTCATTGAAGTGGAACCAGCGGCCCTCGTGCGCCGCGTACGCCGTGTAGTGGCCGGAACCGACGCTGTGGAGCAGGCACAGGGACAGCAGTCAGACACTCACTGAGGCACCTGCTCCTGGGCTAAGGGACTGCCTGCAGGAAGGTACCACAGCCCTGCACAGCACATGCTTCTCTTTTGAGCAGTGGGGCTCAAATTCTTGTTAAATTAAAGTTCTACAAAAACACATTGTCTTGTCCCTTCTACTGTTACTCTCAACAGATCTGTCCAGGGCTGGGGAAAGTTAAAAGACTTCTAGTAACTTTACTTCAAAATATGCCCAGTGCCTTCCTTCCCTGGGTGTTCCTGTGAGCCTTCACTGCTGTGGCAGGAAGGGTAATGGTGATGATCTCTTTCACCATACACATCTTTGGGTGGCAGTTGTTCCAAGCATGCTCAAACACTTCTTTAACATAAAGGCAAATGTACCTTCCAACATGAATAAAAATAGGAAAAAATAGTCCTGTTTTGTAGTAAGAATTTCAGAATGAGACATTAATTCCTGGAAGGGCCCCTGACTCCTCCTCTTGGTTTAGGGCTTTTTTATTTGTGGAGGCACTTGACTATTTTCATTTAATCTCACACATGTAGTCATCAACCCCAAAGGCTGCCAGGGGGCATTCACAGGCCTGACTATCTATTGAAATTAATGCAGCTTAGCTCCCTGCCAGCTTATACACTATGGCTTATTTCCCTCAACTAGAACACATGCCCGTGGGACAGAAACCCCTTCATTCTGTCTGTATGTCCCTGAGTGGGAGAAGGTCTGTGCCAGCAGGCCAGGCTGGCTCCAGGTACTCACCCTGAGCCGTGATGCACAACCACAGCCACGAGGTCATACAGGCAGCTCTCGGGGCCACTGTTTTCAGGCTGTGGTAGGAAAAAACAGAAACTCTTCAAATATCAGTAGCACCCTGGAATTTGTAATAAAGATATGCCATGGAACAAAGTCCTTGCAGCAGGCATCAGG